TTTACTATAGATAGTTAAAAATTTGATGTCAGAACAAATATTTTGTTATATAAGTAAACTATTATATATATGTGTGTGTGTGTGATAAAGAATAAGAGAAACAGAGAGAGAAAGAGAGTAAATAACATCATTTCTATTAGAAATATTTTTCCATCCTTTTCTAAATTAGTACTCATGTTTCATTTTCTTTAATAATAATAATAATAATAATAATAATAATAATAATAATAATAATAATTATTATTATTATTATTATTATTATTATTTATTTATTTATTATTTAATTCTTTGGATTTGTTTGGCATTTTGACATCTTTCCTTTTCAACTGCTCATTTTTTTATTATTAATGTTCAGCGTTATCAAATTGTAACCCTTGTTCATGCTTGGCTAACAATGTCAAATAATACTCTGGTCATATCCGGCTCTTGGCCTACAACCATTTTGGGACTCCCAAGTGATGTATGTATTTAGAAAAAAAAAACTGCTTGTTATAATAAAAAGGCCTGTTTCTTGTTGTCTGTTTAATCCATTCGATCCTTGCTTCGTAAAATGTCTTCTCTTTTATTTCCATTTGATTTTCTTTTTATTCTTTTCTGAAAGATGGTGTGAAAATTTCCTCTCCTTCTTCCAGCTAGCCAAACGGAGGATTACTCATTTTTTCCCTCTTGTATCCGTTTTTGCCTTTGAAGATTGGCGCTTCGGAATTCTCAAACGAGAACGAAGAAAGAACAAATACACAAGAAGTAAATACAAATGAAATGAATGAATGAAGCAAGGAATGAAAGAAGAAATAAATATAAAACGGAAGTAAAATTAATACATGAATAAATAGAAAAAAGGAATTTTTGTTATTTTTACATGATTAGGTAACAGCAATTAACTTCCTTTCTCACCTTGAGTTTCATTTTTACTCATTTTATGAAACTGTTCTTTTCTTTCTCCTTCCCAATTTCTTTCTTTCTTTTTTTGCTCATTCTTCTAAACTGCTCTTTTCTTTCTCTTTCACTATTTCTTTCTTACTCTTTTATTCATTCTACGAAAATGTTCCTTTCTTTTTATTTCTCAAATCCTCTCTTTCGCTTTCCCAATTTCTTTCTTTTTGTTTTACCCATTCTACGAAAAAAAATTTTTTTCAAAAATTCAATTTTTTTATTTTCTTTTTTTTTTCTTTCTTTCTTTTTTGAGTTTTCTGAGAGAATTTCTTTCTTCCTCCTTCTACGAAACTTTCTTTCTTTTTGCCAATTTTCTTTGTTTCTTTCATTCTTTCTTTCTTTCTTTCTTTCTTTCTTTCTTTCTTTCTTTCTCCTTCTACGAAACTTTCTTTCTTTTTGCCAATTTTCTTTGTTTCTTTCATTCATTCTTTCTTAATTAACTCCCAGTGTCTTCCTTTGTAGAATGTTTAGCAAGCGGCTCATGCAATCACAATGGGAGTAAATGTGGCATTTACTAAATATCCTACTAAAATTGCCCTTGTGCCAGATATGTGTGTTTAAACATCATTTAGAAAACTGAAAGTGCAGTTAGGGAAAACTGGAGTTAAAACCAAGTGTTTAGGCTTCCTGAAAACTGGCATCATTTACTCTCTGCAAGGATTCTCCAAAAAGATCTTGAGTTGTAAAGAGGCATGTTGACACCATTCCTCAAGAACAGAATTTCCATTGACTACGTTAAACATAATAATCATTGCCATTCTTTTCTTTCCGACATTTCCACGAGATAATCTGGAGTTTATTGTTGGAGATTCAATGACCGAAAGTAAAATGCTGCTTTGTTTCTCGTGTACTTCTCTATCGTGACCCGGCGAATGTCAATCTCTTACGTGTACTATTTTAATTTTAGCAATATGATATCAATTTTGAATTGGAAGGGATAATTCCAAGGAGGCTGTTAATCCAAAGAGATCTCGTTGTAAATTTAAATTACAGACCATTATCATAATAAATCAAGTAAAAAACCTTAAAGATCCATTTTGGTTATAATTTATTTCGTGAATATTTTTATATTTAACTCTTCAGATCGAAAGTTCTTAATAAATGGAGACAATTCCACCGGATCGATATACTAGATTAAGAGAAAGAAGAGAAAGAGAGAGAGGAAGAAAGAAAAATAACGTGTTTTCGAATATAGTTACTTTTAAAACATAAGAGAAAGAGAGAATGAGAGTGACAGAGAGATTCATTTTTAAAACTGAAAGAAAGAAAAAAATAAAGAAAAATAAAAATGCAATATATATATATATATATATATAT